CAGGCAAACATAATAAAGTAGCAGTCTCTTTAAGTCGACAAGCATCTCTTTTAGCTACCATTAGTACAGAAGTAGTTGGGTTCGATTGGTTAAAGGAACTTTATGCAACTGATAAGGATGATAACGGTTCCGGTGCGAGGTTGGTTCGTTACAGTACGTATGATATAACGGTTTGGGCATAGAGGCTGGGTGGTTACAATATACATTCTTCCACTACCTATTATTTGCACATTTATAATGATACTATAATCATTCGGAAGAGGGAAAAAGAAGTGAACTGTTTTTGTTCTAGAAATCATTATAAATAAACACTCTCCTTCCATTATTAATGCTGAAAAAATGTGAATAAAAGTTGAGCTCAACAATTAAATTCAGCAATATGAATTATTAATTGCCATGGGTAATACTAAAATTAATCAATACACGAAGTTCCTTCATTGGGTTAGGTGAAACCCAACATACTAGGTGAAAGCCTGGATTTGGATAAAGGTAGACAGATGCATGCTACTTGTAGGATGTTCTAACAAGTGACAACCTTAGTTGGCTATTAAATGTGCAAGCTCATAGAGGCACCAAAGCCTACGACGACTTAAGCTCAACATGCTTTGCAGTGCGAACACATTTTATCCAAAATGATAACATCCATACAATTTTCAGTAGAAGAAAATTGAAAGGCAATATATCAAACTGACATGGTTCATAAAAAGGGAGTCAAAATCCTAACTATTTAATAAAGCTTCAGTAATTAAAATAATCAATAAAGCCTAGGAGACACCTGGCTGCCCTTTCTAGAACTTCAAATGGGTAAGATGCTTCTTTTGTGCTTGATAACATATAGGAAGTGACTACTATAATATAATAATTATTTGAAAGAAATTAAGTTTCATTTATGCAAGGTTTATTATCTCATCTAGCTAGAACCATGAATGCTGATTAAACAGAGAACTCCAATATGCTCTTACCATTTTTCATAACTTCGAATATCATGTCACAGTAATATTTGAAAGGTGAAACCCTCATAACACGGCAAACATACTCTGCAAGATGGTAGGGAAACAGCTGCAAAAAGAATACTAACAAGTAAATCCAAGACATCAATATGCCAAAGCTTATTATAATTTCAACACATGCAATTAAATGTTAATTCTACAATATACTACATCAAAAGGTTTCATCATTTAGAATCTCTGTTATTAATACAACAGCTCTTTATCTGTTTCCTATAAGAAAAAGACTACACTCAAGATCTAGATAAATGAGTAACACTTACCTTCAGAAATTTTCTTTCCAGTTGTAAAAGAAAAGATCACATGTTTTGAAAGTTTGGGATCCTATGATATTTTAATAGTAATCATTAATAGAATCCACGTCACTTTATGGTTTTAGTATGAAACTTTTGTTACCCTTGTTAAATAACTTGATTCTACAAGTTAATAACATCTCCATGCCCAACATTAGCACACACTTTGCATGACAAAAAAATAAATATGTTAAATTGTATATAATGCAAACATTCTGCAATTAAATAAGTTAAATTCTATGGATCAATGGCTAAATTCTCCACAGTTCACTAGCTTTTCCTATTTCTAAATACTGGTAAATATTTGGCACGAGAGAACTGTATGTTTAGTCATTTATCTAATACTTTACTCTCATATTCAAAATGTTTCGCAATTCCAATCAACAAATGAACTCAATAGCAAAGATTTGCAATTCCAAAGATAATAACAATATTAAGTGTCTAGCATCGGAAAATTTATGTTTACTCATGTGTAGTGCATGAACATCGATGTAGACATCATTTAACTAATACATAAGAATTAGAGGGAGAGTAAATACTCTGGTTTTCATAGTGTTATTTGATAAGAATGGTGCATTCAATTTCCATTGTTTGTCAACGTTCATAAAAAATAAAAGCATGTTGTCGTATTTATTCGATGATTTTGTCATTAGGCCAACTCTACTGAGCCATATCTACTTATCTGGAAGAGCCACAATTAAACCGCAAAGGCTGAATCATTTTCAACTACCACTTGCATAGGTAATAACTAATAATCATATAACTACAAAAAACTAAGCCTTATTCCATACAAATTTGGGGGTCGGCTACATTAATCCTTTTCGCACTCCCTTCGATTCCTTTCTACGTATTAGAAAATCCAAAACAATTAGATCCTTAGCAATCACAAATGTTTGTGGTAGTTTGAGTCTATTGCATCAATCTTATGAACGGGAGCCTCTTTGGTCTAATATTCCCCACCCCACCACCTAAATTATCCTCCCTTAGTTATACTCAATTAATGCTATATTCACTTGTTGGCATATATTTATTTCTTATATAATTGAATTTGCTTCAATCATGCTCCCATCTTAACATCCTCTTCGATTCCTCATTCTTTGTTAATAAACAAACCTAAGCCCCTGTTTGTCTACCATTAATCCAAAAAATTGTTTGCTACAGTAAGATTCTCCACCACGCATTCACCCAATAAAATATTCTACACACAAACCAATAAAGTTACTTTAATTTTCAACCACACATTCTCCATTGTTTTTAACATGTTAGAATTAGATTAAGCCCCTGTTTGTCTACCATTAATCCAAAAAATTGTTTGCTACAGTAAGATTCTCCACCACACATTCACCCAATAAAATATTCTACACACAAACCAATAAAGTTACTTTAATTTTCAACCACACATTCTCCAAAAAATACTATTCATTACACTAATTTTCTCCCAATAATGGGAGACAAACAAGCTCTAAATATCTTTAAAAAATAACTCATTGTGAAGATCGTACATATAGTGATTTCATTTGAAGAAAGTGAAGAAGGGGATTATTTTCTTATGTACAGTAGTGTAGTGTACACTCCTATTAATAATACAAGTTTGAGAAAGAAAAAGGAAAAGAATCTCCTAATTTAGGAGAGAAAAAAACTTCCTAATTTATCTAACTTTGGAAAGAACTAAATATAGTACAAAGAATCAAATCAACCCAATCAATCAATCCACTAATACACTCGGATTCCTACATTATTATCCTTAATTCTACCATTATTAAAATGATATTGCACGTACTTTGTCTTAATTTTAGTTAGACAAAAATCTTTAGATTCCAAAGTACTCCTTCAAAATTCTAATTATAATTTAAACACTCTCTAATCTCATCAACTGAAGTCAAACATACGCCAAGAACCTCATCTTGCATAGTTTCATAAGATCCATGTCTAAAGCAAGGGATAAGAATTTAATTTAGAAATGCAAGCCAACAATGATAGGAAATTTTTCAATACTGTCGACAATACATCTCAGGCTAGTGACACTCTATTGTACATATCTTTAATAATATTGATGCATCTTTTAGAAATTTGTTTCCCTAGCACCCACAATAGAACTTCCGTAGGCACCCTATTACAGGCTTTTTCTAAATCAATAAAAATCATATGCAGATCTCTATACTTCTCTGTCAATCTTCTAATCAAGTAAATTGCTTCCATAGTAGATTTTCCTAGCATAAGCCAAACTGATTCACATTAAAGTTGAGCTCATGACCCTCTACCAAAATTGCTTAGTATGACTTTGGAGCTAAATAGTTCCTTAATTTCATAAAATCTAGTATATATTATTTATTCTTATGGATAACCACCATAAGACTCTTCCTCTAGTCATATGGAATCCTTTCACTCTTCAAGATATCACTAAACTATTATATTAATCATTAATAATCTGATGTTCAAAGCAATTAAGTATTAAACATTCAGAAGTAAATTCAAAATTAAATATATGGAATGCACTAGAGCTATACTAACAAAGCAATGTAAATTTTATACTCACTGCTAAGTTCCTTCGCAGATAACGCATCATATCTTCATAATATTCACCTTCTTTGCATACTTTGCGAGCAAAACAAGTGTTCCATTGGAGTCGTTTCTTTAAGCAATGTTCAATTATCCTGCATCACTTGGTCAGTGGAAGGTAATCAAAGGAAATCAAACAATAATTGGTGTCAAGGTGGACAACCCACTAACGTCATGCAACGAAATGTATCAACTAATTCATCTCATAACCAAATATAACCCCCAAACAAACCGATTCAATTATTTATACAAGCAGTAACTGATCCTTCTTCAAGAATAAATAAATCAAAAACATAGCACGTCTTTCTTATCCATAATAGATTTATTGCATACTTTAAATCAAAGTCACACTAATTGATGTAGGATGTAGTTAAGAAAGAGAAATAGAGAAAGATAAGAAGAATTTAGGGGAAGAAGATATCAATATTCAATCATCAATAATAGTCTGCATATAAATGAAATGTTAATTCTATACGGTAAGGCCCCCTCATTTTGGATTTATTTTAGAGCCCCAATACCGATTGTCAAATAATCAAAAGTTGTTCTAGGCATTTTGGTAAAATTTAGAAAAGTGATTATAGAAGAATTTTTACCATTTGACAGCGGATTTTGAGAAGCAAGAAAAGGGTAGCTTCTCATATTCTACTTTTAACTTTTCCACTTTTCTATTATTAAAATACCAATTTTGACTTTAATTAATTGAAGTTTCTTTTTATATCCTAGGTTTATTAATATTTCAATGATAAAGCATCTTGTAGTCCATTGTCCACATTAAGCCCATGTTTTGGCTCCATTTTTGTGGAAATACATTTTTTCTTTCTTATTTTCAACCACATATTCTCCAATAAAATAATATTATAGGTGAACCCAGAAATTTTTCTTATTTTTTTAACCACACATTTCCAAAAAATCACTATTCCAAAATACATGTTTCCTCAAAACTATTTTTAATGGAACCCAAACAAGGGCTAAATATAATCAAAATTTCTTTGATATTTTTTCTTATAATATGAAAATGGAGGAATTGAGAAACAGAAATGCTACAAGTCTTGTGCATAAAAGGTAGTTTAAATTTAATAGATGTTAATTTTTTTTGAATTTAAAATAATTGTAGTAAATACACCGTTTAGAAAAAATTTGATAATATTGCATTATTATAAAAGTAAAATTAAATGTTACAATACAAAAGAAAAAAAAACATCATTACAATCAATGTCCATTTCAGTGATTCTCTATCAATACATCAATAAGTTACTTTTGTTTATCAAACACAAATTTGATTCTTCCTATAACTACTACTGATTCTCTTATATGCACAGCAATACCAAAAAAAGCATAGATAAGTTAAATCTAATAAAACTTCTAATAAATAAATACTCAAATTGATAAAGTTCTAGATAATCGAAATAGCTGAAATGTAATTCAAACTATGTTTTTTTAAATCTTATCTCTCCTCATCAACATCTTTATTCCCCATCCCAAATCGATCGATGGACTATAATTGATTCATAATAGGCTCCTAAGCTGGAACATTGACGGATAAAACAACAAATGGCTGAAACTTTAAACTAAACAATTTAAAAATTTGTTATATTGTGCAGAAATGGATAGAGTGAAAAACTTTGAAACCTGATAGTAGACAACTACTCCTTGAGCAGACCTTGGGACTAATCCCAAACAGTTACCAAGTAAATAATTCTGAAGTTACATAGTTAACAAAACATTTTTTTCTAATAAATCAATTTAAGTTTTCAATAACCTTGGCAGGATATTTTATCTGCCTTAGGGTAACTCATAGCAATATACTTCAAATGAAATAGAAGGCTGGCAGAGAACTCCAAATCGATTATGTCTACCACTAGCATTGTATTAAAGAATATGTTTTGGTCATTTTATATGTTATCGTGTCAGCATGGAAACTCCAAGAAGATCATCTCACCAATTAGCACAACTATATGAAAATTCATGTCTTCAAGGATTTAATGTAGGAAGAATTTCAGTACGAAGGAAATGACAAATTAGGACTAACAGACACACTCCTTTAACAGTGCTGATGCCTGTCCAACGCCCTAAGAAATAGGATTTCCATCACCATCATGACCAAGAAAACTAGAAACACAAGAGCAACTCTTAGATTTAGTGTCACTAAAAGGACATCAACTCTTTGTTTAGACTCAAGAAAGCTTTAAAAATTCTAGACATAGAACGGTTCAAAAAGAAATACCACCAATTAATCCAATATTTTATGAGAAAATATCACAAGATATTACAAGATGCAGATTCAAACATTTTAGGTTTCAAAAATTCTGCAAATACTTTGCCCAGAGACCCAAAAAATGTTAGATGGCAAGATATTATAAGCTTCCAAAATGTGTACATTGTTGTCTTGCTGTCGGGAGTCAGGAATACCCTGCACCTATTTGCATCACTTATCACCAAGAAAGCTCGTGTTTCTATTTGAACTTGGAGTTTCTGATTCTCATTCTTATTCCCTATCAACTGGTGCTTTAGTTTAATTGAAATTGAAATCGTCTAAAAGCTTCACAACCCATCAGTATCTTAGAAATATACTCCATGCAATCATACTTGACAATAACACAGACCTTGTTAGGAATGGCAAGATCAAATTTATAGAAATATAGGATGCCATCGTGCCTTTGCAACCAAAGAGTGAATTCACATCTGCCTACACAAGGAATAAATGCAAAACTCCACTGAAGAGCATACTGCCAAAGTCCTCATTTTCAGCTTTAATCTATTGTAGGAAGAAGAAAAAAATGGATCCTTCTAATCTATATATTAACAGCGTCCTATAGGCAACAACCACAATTCATAGATTCCTCCAATAATAATAAAAGTTGCACCAGAATAACCTATCGAAAATTTGGAATGGAAAAGGGTAAATTAAAATAGAAGAAGAACCTCCTATGCCATTCTTCTTTAGAACTCAAGGTAGTTTGAAGACGCTTGGGAAGACTCTCCCATGGGCATTCTTCTCTTATTGCTTTCAGTATCAACTGTTCCTCTACTGTTGCCGGATTGTGGTGCATTTCGATTCTCAGCTGATCACTGCAAAATTAAATATACTTCAGCAATTAAACTGGTTGGAAGCTCCCAGGGTGGAAGTTAAATTCCATTTCTCAACAGTTAGAATTCTATAAAATCAAATGCTCAGCGGATTAATTTCGCTAAAACGAAAAAGGGAGCTAGATCGACCGATACTATACATTCCCTAGAGAATTATGGGAGAAAAATTCAACGAATTACCTGAATTTGGCGGCGAGAAACCGACGAGACGTGGGATCAAGCTAGAGCTTGTAAATTGCACGTTGGTTGTGAAGATCGGGGAAGTGAGCTATAATGAATTCAACTCAAGATCTTTTTAAATCGTTTAACAATACTAATTTCTGTTAATTGCCTATATTGTAGAAGATTCGAATTTAATTATATTGTCAAAATGTGAGATGTGAATCTTGTACTCACCCCTCGTTTAAGAGCATTTCCAATGTTATTTTTTGTTATTTCAAAGAGTACACTTTTAAATAAGGGCAAGTTTGACATAAATTATTTTTAGAATAAATTATCTGAAAAATGATTTTTTTTCTTCTTCTTTTTTTTTTTTAGATATGTTATTAAGAAGTAAAAAAAATTTATGAATTTAAGTGCATTTAATTTTTTTGGAGAAATATGAATTTTACAAAAAATGTACCAAACAAGGCTAGGTTCCAATTGGCTCTATATTAATTCAATTAGGGGTGCGAGCGGGTCGGTTCGATTTGTTCGGTTCCAGAAATTTTCGGGTATTTAGTAAATAGAAACGTCGGTTCCAAATATAATTCTGGAATCGTTCGGGTTCAATTCTGTTCGGTTCCGTATTATAATTAATTTTTTTAACATTTAGAATAACACTACATAAATACACATGAAAGTAGATACTAATACTAATANAATACACATGAAAGTAGATACTAATACTAATAACAAAAAGTAGATAAAATACCAAGTTCAATATTAGCTTTTACACATAAACATAATATTTTAAAGTATTGATAATACTTACCAATTATGTAATATAATCATCAGTTGCTTGACTTGTCATACTAACTATTAAAAAACTCTACAAGGAAAAGGTCAAAAGTGAACCTTAAACTCCTACCAATATGCTATACTTTTAATGCTAGCTAAATAAATAGATACACAATAAATAAAACAATTAGAGATTGTGTCAACCAAAAATCAAAAATCGCAAAAAAATGCCACCAAAGAAACAAAAAACTAGAAACCCACAATAAGTTAGAACAAAATCAGTTAAAATCAGATTGTGAATCAACAAAATCAACAGATTGTGAAAAGCAAAATCAGAACAAAAGCTTGGACGGATGTCGCGACTTCCAACTACAAAGACTACCAACCCACCAACTCCAAATTACAAGTTACCTCTTTCGAACTTCAAATGGTCTCTTTTTTTAGTCACGCTTTTTTTAATAAAATAATATTATACTTAAATTAAAAAAAAAATTCTTTCTATTTTAATCATACATTCTTTAAAACAAATTATTATTCCAAAATATATTTTTCTCAAAAACATATTGAAATGTAGCCCAAATATTTAAAATACATTCTTCTATTTATATTTATCAATATTTCATTTAATAAAATTACAAATTTAAATTATTCACATTATATTGAAATTTTAGCTATTAACATTTAAAAATATATATTGATTGAAAAATGAGGAAAGCTATAAGTCCTATTTGATTTTGCTACAAATCAGATTTTTAGTAAAATTTTGATAAAAGTTAATGAAATGTGTAATTGAAAAAGTTGATAAAATTGTAATTTTCTTGAAATATGTAGTTAAAATTAATTGTTAACTTTGTCTTAAATCAACTTTTAGCTAAACCAAATAAGGGATAAAAACAAAGGCTAAATGAATGTTGAGAAAAGTAAAATAAAGAACGAAAATAAATAATTTGTTCGTGTATAAAAATTTTATTATTTAAATTTAAAGATACTCTATGATCAATATATTCTTTAAAAATAAAGAGTATTGAAAATGCTAATTCACATTTTTTTAGCTTCTTTATATTTTCATATTTTGATGGTTTGATTTACAACAATTGATGGTTCCGATTACGTTTGTGTGAATTGGGTTATTCGAGCTTGAACTAATCCATTTGGTGGATTATTTCCAATAGGCAAAATTAAACAAAATTCTACATTTTAACTTTACACTTCAAAAATAAGATGTTAAAGATTTATTTTCTTAAATTAGGTGTTAACTCCTGTTTGAGCCACATTAATATTTTCATTTTCATTTTTCTACTCATTTTCAACCACACATTCTTCAATAAAATAATATTTTTCATCACATCAATAATTTTTTCTTCTTTTTCAATCACATATTCCTCATCCATCACATCAACAAAATGCACTATTTAACTCCTGTTTGAGCCACATTAATATTTTCATTTTCATTTTTCTACTCATTTTCAACCACATATTTTTTAATAAAATAATATTTTCCATCACATCAATAATTTTTCCTTCTTTTTCAACCATACATTCTCCATCAATCTGTTATTCCAAAATACATTCTTCCAAAATAATGTGGCTCAAACACACCCAGTAAGTTTTAATTAAGATTAATATATTAATAAATTAGTTAATACAAAATTAAAAAAGAATTAATTATGTTGATATTGAATTCCTAAACACGGACTGGGCTACAACAACATCCCCAATAAAAGTCCCTAATTAGCGAATACAATTTCACCTCATTCCTAAAAATAGCTCGGTTCCACGCGTTTTTTAACTCGGTGAGCTCCACTGCGATCAAGGAACATTATGATTATTGATTTAAATAGGGTGAAATCATCGCCTCCACTTTGACCAATCTTCCATAGACACGTGGCATGGTTGGTCTCAGCAACTTATTGTCAATCAATCAAAAATCAACAATAATGACAACACCAACTCTCATCCCAAACATCATGATGAGTTGCTAAAGCCCACCTTTCCTTTCAATGAAAAAGCTCCATATATGAATAATTTAGCACATTCAATAAGGAAGAACACTATAGCTAACATCAGAATGTGCTGTTGAAACTTGACTATGGCGGCCAACTTCCAAAATGCGGCTCTAAATGGAAAGTAATGGATCCTTTAATGGAGGACGAGATCCTTACTTTCCTTGATTGTGTTATTGCACTTATGAATGCAAAAAAATTAATAAATTAATCATTTTACTATTCCATCTACTCACCTCGTCCTAATACTCATTTATGTTGACAAAATTGATTACCCGATTTTGAACATCACAAATTATAAACTAATCGTTTATAATATTTATCTAAAACCAAATAAAATCTTTTCATACTACCATAATTGCCCACTTCTTTCACTCTCTGTACTCCCTCTCTTTCTCAATTCCAATCGTGTCTTCAATCTCTATGCATTATCACAATCCTATATCCCTAAAATCAGCTATTATCACCACCTATTATCACCAACTAGCTTTTCGCTACAAGAATAATTGAAAACTCTCACTATTAAATCATCTATCTAACCAATTTTCACTATACATTGATGTTTAAAATGGTATTAATTGAATTATAAACGAAAATAAGAAAAAATCTGAAGAATATTCACTATAAAGAATGAAGAAATTCGCATCTAGGAGGAAATCTTCGAAAAAGGCGAACTCCCTAATATGCACTTCAATTTTTTTGTTCAAATGCTTTCTAGTAAGGGACGTAGTATGTGGGTATGCTTTGAATTAGAATTTTGTTACCTACATATGTTCTATTTGTGATTGATTCTTGTTTAGATATGACAAAAAAGTGTAATCTCTTCCGTAGTTAATATTTATTTGTATAAATGCAATGCAATGTGAAATGTAGTGTGTAGGTATCTTGTGCATTATGTATATGGGGTTTTGTGACTTGATTTTGGTAATTTGTGACCTATTTTTATGAAATGTGACCTGAATTTGATATTTTGTGATCTCATTTTGATAAATGTGACAAATGTTGTTATCATCACCATCATCATCATCACCATCATCATCATCATCATCTAATTTTATCAAAATACAAATGATTGGATAAGCCACAGATTATGAATTATTTAGATAATGGGTCAAAGTTAGCCAATTATAGGCCACAATCACATGTTTATGTTTGTGATTAAGGTCACAGTCACATGTTTGACACTAATTTATACAAGATTTGAAATATTTGATCAAGTAAAGTAGTTGGTTCCCTTTCCTTATTGCATTTCCCTCCCTTGTCGAGCCTTTCCTTTAATGGTTGGGGGAAGCATTCCCTTATCTGAACTTAGCCAATAGGAGACATTAAAGACCAAACTATATAAACTGGATCCGTTTATTAGGAAGCCGACAAGCTCCATAACAAACTTTTTGATAAAATTCATCGACGAGAAGAAAAAAAATTCTTACAAACACATTTTTCTTACTACAAAAACTATAGAGAGATTGTTGTCCAACCCCAGTTGAGTGGGAGGTCAAATAACTAAATAAGGAAAAGATGTGAGTTAATATAATGTTGGATATATTTGGTTTCACTTTTCACTGGCCAAATTTTTACTTGTGACTGGATTGATATATGACGACATACATGATCACATACAACAAGGTGGTGGACCGAATTCTGAATTCTTTATCTATTTACATCATATTTGTTTTCTACCTTATACAACAAGGTGGTGGACCAGCACATGACGTAATGGAATTGTTCCCGTAGGAAACTATATGTTTGATACTACAATACGCCATTAAAGAAGGAATTGTCCAACAAAGTTAGCCTCTATGGACTCATGGAAATTTTATTTGCTTTTGGTTTGGTTGTACGAGTCCATCAAATCTTGAGGGACGTGACCACAAAAATTGGTAAAAAAATTCGTATTTTGAACTGGATAGCTCATAAACATTCATCTTGGCAACTTTGGAAGAAAAAGTGTTTCCGAATGAAAATGTAAGTTTTAAAATACGTTTTGGAGTGTTTAATCATTTTTGTGGTTGTACAAATTTAAAACATGATTTGTGCTTATCGTTTTTCCATTTTATGTCAAACAGATTGAGATAAATGACATCGATATGTTTGCTTTAGAGCTCATAATATCGTACATGACAAGTGTTCCTTATGTGTAATTTGATTGTGATATGAAATATGTGAATGTGACTTGATTTTGGATATTTGTGAACTGATTGTAGTAAATTGTAACCCTGATTTTGGTGTTGTATATATTGTGCATGACAAATGTTTCGTATTTTAAGCCAAAACAGCCACACCATAATGTGAAGAGCTCTTCAAATCTGGTGGGCACAAGCAAGTATATTCCCCATTGGCACCAATGTCAAATCATTAGCATTGTTCCCATATGTTGGTGTGCTACAATCAAATGTACACTTAGAAGATGATGATGATGATGATGATAACTTTGTGGATCCACCATTATAAAGATGGAAAACGACTACCAATTCTAGTACTCCAATTCAGCTTCGATCCATACATCTTCCCGAATGTTTATGCATCGAAGGA